ANNNNGNTNNTTNNNNAAAAAAAAAATTATATGAATCATATGTTTATTAATCACTGCATCTGATCATGCTTTATAACTTAGAATCTCATGTTTCNAGANAGTAAAGCATGTAACTGTACTTTGATTATAGATTCGTTTTGTTTAAGTTTTGACAGCTACATATGTTATATGTTTAGCTTATTAACAATATATATATATATATGATCTTTCCTTATGAAATTATTACGAGCATATAACATGCTTTATTGTTTGATTTGATTTCTAACTTCACTATGATTGACTTATAGTCATGTTTGATTAATTATCGATTATTGTTTTTCATATAACGAGGTTCTATGTAGAGTAAGAACCGGTTTAGCAGTGATGAAAAATTCAGTGAAAGGTTTTGGGATTATTTGGCCAAACTTTCTCCGATACCGTCTCCGGGTACTTATTCAAGTAAGTCGATAAATTCTTTAATTAAAGATTCGTTAAACTAAGAAAAATGAATTTAACAATTGAAAATAAATTCAGTATTTTATATATCTTGTTAAAGGGATGACGACTTGGAAAATTATCATGCTAATTTGTGTACATGAAAATCTTTTAGTATTTATCGATTAANTTGATTATGCATATACATATNTACNTGTAGCTTACTGNATTATGTTAATGGTGTAAGTATGGTGTGCATCTAGTCATTAAGTTAATCGTTGGTCAANTGATTTAATGATTTTAGCAAACCATCGATAATTTGATATGTTTAACGATGAAAAAAAAAATTACGTTCATACTTTATACTGTTTGGTTTGGTTTGAATTGGTTTAGATAATTGTTGCTCGTTTGTTATTGATAGATGCATGTCATGATTTCTTATTATTCTTGGCTTGATCTATTAACTTTGAATATGGCAATTGAATATACTGTGATTATAGAAATAGAAATTGTCTATAAAGGAAAACTAAAATATGATAAGTGAATCGTATATCATATGTGTTGCTNTACGATCTGTTTGCTATATAATAGATACTTAGACNTGNTTTTTCTCTAATAGCTCATGCGTAAATTAAATTCTACGTAATTTATGGTTTAAGTTTGAATGTTTGTATATATACATTTAAATTTTGGTTTTGGTAACTTTTTTAGGGAAAAGCATGTTTAAATCGNTAAATTAAAATAAAAGCTTGAAATTTCAGTTATAGAATTTATGCATAGAGGAAGGCATGATATTGTTATAACTTATCATATGCTGTGAATTTTGACTTCGCAGACTTAATTTTAATTGTGATGAGATAATTATATGATATATCTATATTCTTTGATGAATGGTAGAAATTGTTGGATTTTTCAACAAAATTGATGAATCATATCTCGTGGTCCATTCCCTGAAGTGGATTTATACATAAGATCACTAGCACTAAGCCAAAGAAGTGACTATAGAAAATTTCTTGAATGGTCAATATCGA